TATGGAGTGTTACCTGGTCCCCAGAGCTTAAATCCCCTCAAATATGATCTGAACTGTGCTTTTCCTTGTCCCCAGAGGTAAGAGCCACACAAATGCAGTGAATATAGACGTAAAAGTTGACGTTTTTGCACGTAAATGGAGGGAAAGACGCAGGTAGCCCTCCCCACACTACCGAAACTGAGGTATTGCTGCAGCATATGAGTAGCAGTCCAGCCCTACGCGTCACTTCCGGTGACCTCCAGTGACCTCCGCCTCGTTCTCGACCTCTACCCTTAGCCCAATGTGAAAAAGTATCTCCCATGTTTTTTGTCTCTCCTCGGGCTAACCTCTGACCTTTATTACATCACCACGCGTCATCATGGCGGCTGTGTAGCGAAGCGACATGTGCCCGCTGTGATCCCCAAGCTTTCGGGTTAAATCCGTTCCACAAGCGAGAAAAATACCTTAGCTACACTCCAAACCTGGGGAGGACAGTTGGTCGTTATCTGAACATTTTGTTTTCTAGTTACGATTTCTGTAACTTCGCGTTACGATGGAATGCGGAGGACAACTTGATGACACGGACAAGTTACCTCAGAGGCATCTGCCCACAGCTCAGAAGAAGTGTGTGCGGTGTGGAAAAGCCGCCGTGCTTGTGGTGCAGACGAGTGCCGCATTCTGCAGGGAGTGTTTCCTCAACTACTTCACGCACAAGTTCCGCTCCGGGCTGGGAAAGACGAGAGTGGTGCAGCCGGGAGAGAGGGTTCTGTTGGCTTTCTCTGGAGGGCCGTCCTCGGCTGCCCTTCTTCATCTGGTCAAGCGAGGCATGGAGGAAGGAACTCAGAAGAAGAGACTCCGAATCGAGCCGGGCTTAGTCTTCGTAGATGAGGGCTCTATCGTCCAAGGGTTTGATGTAGGTCAGCGACAGAAAGCTGTGCAAACAGTTTCTAAGCTAGCAGAAGATACTGGTTTCCCAGTCCACTTCGTCATGTTGGAGGATGTTCTCACTGATGAGCACTCTACAGAGACAGATCCGCTAGTTACAGTGTCAGACTCTGAGGAAACATCACAAGATACAACTGAAGATGTAGAAAGGCAGGTGAAGTCGCCGTCTATTGACGACTCAAGTGCAGACAGGTTAAAGAGACTGTTTGAGGACGCAAAGTCTCTGACAGCCAAAGAAGACTTACTGCAGATGCTCCGTTCTAAACTGCTGGTCAGAGTGGCCAGGATGCACGGTTACACTAAAGTCATGGTTGGTGACAGTGGCACCAGACTGTCTGTGCGCATCATGGCTGACATTGCCAAAGGTAGAGGAGCAGCTCTTCCTCTCAACACCGGATTTGCTGACGACAGGCATGGAGACGTTGTCATAGTTCGACCAATGAGGGACTTCATTGCAAAGGAGATTTCTATGTACAACACCATATGCCAGGTGGAGTCCGTGTTCCTGCCCATGCTAACAACAAAAGTGGCTGAAAAGGCAAGCATCGGCCATCTGACAGAAGCCTTCATCAGCGGGTTACAAGTGAACTTTCCCTCCACCGTTAGTACTGTGTTCAGAACAGGGGCCAAACTTGGTGTGTCACATGATCAGCCAGAAGGACACAAGAGGTGTGCCATGTGTAAGGCACCCTTGGACACTGGACAGACACCATTACAGTCTAGTGTGTATAAGACATCTCTGGCACCAGCGGGTGATGATAGTGGTGAATGTGTGGCAACTGGTCAGGATCTAGGCCCATCTCTCTGCCATGGCTGCTCTCTCACTGTAGCAGACTTGGGTGACTGGTCAACTCTGCCAGACCAACTGTACGCATGAGGACTGGCATACAGACTCAAGATGTAGTAGAAAAATGGCTAAGTATGACGGAAAAACTGGAAGAAAAATATGTACCATATTACAAAGAAGGTTTTGAAACCTCCTTGGTATTACTATGATTAATCACTATGACAAAGATAATTGCATTTGTAGAAATTGTGAAAGAAAATAAGATGTCTGCAGTCCATACTCCTTTACTACATCAGGAAAAAGAAACCTGTGGACCATGTATGTTGATTTGTGATAAAATTTCATTACATTCACCAAAAATCCATATAATACATATCCTGAATGTATTTCTTAGCTCTGGGTTTCCATTTTCTCTTTTTTTTTGTTTAAAATAAAGTACATTTGTATAAACCCTGTGTGTGTGTGCTTTCAACTGACATTTCCCATATTTCATAGGATGGTCAGGTTGCCAACATCATAGAGGACTTTTAGAATCTGCCAGGAAATGTTGATGATGATGTTAAGATGATATTTTGTGCCAGGAGAGGTAACAGCCATATACAAAAGTGAAACCAGGCGTGGGGAAATGGCTTGTAATCAGGCACAAAAGTATACTACACTGGCCACCAATGCAGCTGTCAAGGGGCCTCGCCATGATGCAATGAACGGGCGACATGGAAGTTGCGTGGAAAGTCGCGTCGGTCTTTGAAGCTGTGAAAAAGTCGCCGATAGTTTCAATTTAGAAGGCAAGTATTCATGATCTGGTATTTTGGGTCTCGCACTACCCACGATACGATGCAGCAGAACTTGAAATGAATACAACATTGACATGATTTGAGCTGAGCTAAGTTACTAAAAATGTAGTTTGCCCCCCTCCCTCATTTGAAGGCGGACAAAATCTTATTATTTATCTGTCGGATAACATTTAAACGGAAGTTTGCTGGCAATGTTACAAAGACTACAAATAATGGCTACCTCGGATACATCAGGAGTGAATGGTGCCCACCAGCAGGGATGTAGCTATTCACAAACCTGTGATATCAGGATCTGCATTGACGGAGAAAATTTCCCTGCCAACAAGGCGGTTCTCGAGGAAAAGAGTGACTACTTTCGAGCCATGTTTTCGTCAGGAATGAAAGAGAGCATGGAAGAGGTCATCAACTTACAGTCTATACCCCCAAACGTGTTCAAACCCCTTCTTGACTACATGCACACGGACATTCTTGAAATACCACAAGACTGCTTCCTCGACATGCTGGACACTGTGAGCTTCCTTCAGATAGTTCTTCCAGAGAAATTCATCAGGGCAAACATCAACATGAAAAACTGGCACACGATTTTGTCCACAGCGCAGGCATATGCCATAACGAATGTCCAAGATGTCCTTTATGGCTACCTTAGTGATAACCTTGCAGAAGTCATGACAGAAGAATCCTTCCAGAGACTGACTAAAGAGCAGAAGAACTACATCTGGGAGTTGAGACACAAGCAGAGGTGTTCTGTCGTTGTGTTAGGGGCACACGAAGAGAACGCCAGCAAAACTCGACCTGTCTACTACTACAGTGAAAGTGAAGACAAGTGGGTGTCATTCACATCACTTCCTGACAAGGGGAGCTCCGTTTCCTGCGGAGTGGCAGTCATGGACAACTACCTATATGTTGTGGGCGGCTTTGTAGACTTTAAATGCAGGGACCTACAGAGGAAGAACTTCCGCTACAACCCCATGACCGACACTTGGACAGAGATAGCACCTATGTTACAGGGACGGGCAGATTTTGGACTGGTAGCATTAGATGACCACCTGTATGCCATAGGTGGACGACAACATTATTTCTCTGCATTACCCTCAGTAGAAAAGTACAACCCTGTTGCTGATGAGTGGGGATATATAACACCACTGCCTAAAGGTTCACGACGCCATGCTGTTACCACATGTGGGGGAGCTATCTACATCAGTGGTGGTTTCCCACATTACACTGACCAGATGCTAAGTTACACCCCCGCCGCTGATGAGTGGGAATTCGTGACACTCCTACCGACTCGGCGCTCCGATCACGGGATGGTGTCTGCTCGCGGGGTCATATACGTCATGGGTGGGTACCGCAGCGAGGTGGACTGTTTCGTCGTCTCTTCAGGGCAGTGGTTTCACATTCGGCCGACCAATAAGCTGGAGTACCTGAACAAGTTTGCTACAGTGTGTAATGACTGTATCTACTTTGTGTGTAAGAAGTTTACCCAGTGTTATGATATAGAGGATGACCACTGGGATGAACTGGGACTGAAGAGGTGCCCAGGAGGCCCTACTAAAAATGCTGTGACCCTGAGACTGCCCTCACATGTCACACAAGGGACCAAGTAAGCAGAAAGGTGAAGCACATCTGTTGCATGAACCTGTATAGTGATGGCTGATATTATAAATATCCAAGACTTCTGACAAACTATTTATTGAAACTTTAATCTCCAAGCAGATGTTTAGGTAAAAATTGTGGTGACCCATGCCTGTCAGAGAAGACCAGTCATCAGAAAACTTTGTTTCATCCCAATATCTGCTTGGAGATTGTTTCATCAGGTGTCAAGTAGATGATGCTCTGGTGAATCAATGCCATATCAGTGAATGGTCTCCCTCTCCCATGTATGTGCCAATGAACATGAAGCTGATTAAAGTTGCCATTTTATGTGATGCATAATCAGTGTGGAATGGGCAAACTACCATCAGTATTATTGAGATGAATTTATCACACATTAAAGTAGTAAGAGTATCTTTCTGTTGCTAAGGTGTTGCGTGGCTTTTGCATTAGTAAAGTGCTTGATTCAATTCTTGTCTTGAGTTTTATTTCCACAAAATAGATTCATGTATAAGTAACTGTTACTCTGATAATAAAAGGAAGAAGCATACCAGATCTGTATGAATTAAAATTATCCCACTATGACCACTTCCAGGGAAGGAAGCATAAAATACTTGTATTGTAGGTACACCGAAAAAGAAAAAAATTCAGGAACAGGTACTCCTAATGGGACATGGGTCCCTCAACTTCTGAGTTAACACTGGTAGGCAATTCACAATGAGAAAACAGCCACTGAAATATAGATGCACTATACTGTTACTGAAACAGTAAAGACATGCTTTTTCTAAGCTGTAGCTAGATTGAATATTCCCATGTCCACATATGGATATGCTTCAAACTCTGCCAGTTTGGTTAGGTCCTTGCTGTAATGTAGGGCTTTGAAGCAAAGATCACAGAAAAAGCAGGGGGCTCTCCTCTGCCAGC